TTCCCTGGATAAATTTCTTACAGAATGTGAGAGTTTAGACTAGAATAATTTGGTGACAAGGGTGAACTCTCTTAAAAATAATTGAGTGATGGTGTGGCTCAGTGGTAGAACACTGCTGAGCATGAGCAAACCCATGTTCAGTCCCCAGTTCCATCAAGGAGGCCAACAGGTGGCAGGCTGAGGTGGGAAGACTGCTGCAGTGTCCAGCACTAGATATAGTGAGACCTTGCTTCAGTCAAGGGCAAGCAGAAAGACTCTTACAGTGGGATAAGCTGTTTGAACTCAGTGTCTCTCTTACTTTAGACCAATCTGACTTTTGTTGGCTGTGTGGGCATGCTGGACCCTCCCAGGATCGAGGTGGCCTCTTCTGTGAAGCTGTGCCGGCAAGCAGGCATCCGTGTCATCATGATCACTGGGGACAACAAGGGCACTGCTGTGGCCATCTGTCGCCGCATTGGTATCTTCGGGCAGGATGAGGATGTGACATCAAAGGCTTTTACAGGGCGGGAGTTTGATGAGCTCAGTCCCTCAGCCCAGAGAGATGCCTGCTTGAATGCCCGCTGTTTTGCTCGAGTTGAACCTTCCCACAAGTCTAAGATTGTTGAGTTCCTTCAGTCCTTTGATGAGATTACAGCTATGGTAAGATTTCAGACACGAGCAGTGGTTCACATGGCACAGAGAGCAGATCCATCTAGTCACGATGGTGCCTGTAATTCTGGCGCTTAGGAGACTGAAACAAGCGAGGCTACTGAATGAGATCTAAAAACAGAAGGTGTTGTGGGGTTTTTTGTTTGTGGTTTTAATCTATAAACAATATTTAGTATTTGAATATGTTTCTGAAGTGTGTAAATGAGCTTAAATTATGTGGCCACACCACAGATAGCTCTTGGGGTTTGAGTGTTGGTGTAAGACAATCCAAGCAGATATGCAGTCCTCTTGGTTCTGCCTCTCTGGTGAGCTTACTACTGGACTGCTTTTACGTGTTCCTAGTAAAGGGTTTCGACACCAGCTACTGCTCTGTCCCATTTCCTTTTGCTGTCAGTCTGCCTCTGCCCAGAGGTGTGCCACATAGTGATGTCTGAATCAGCGGTGGCTTCCCTTTCAGACTGGGGATGGTGTGAATGACGCTCCTGCTCTGAAGAAATCTGAAATTGGCATTGCCATGGGTTCGGGTACTGCAGTGGCCAAGACTGCCTCTGAGATGGTCCTTGCAGATGACAACTTCTCCACCATCGTGGCTGCTGTTGAGGAGGGTCGAGCCATCTACAACAACATGAAGCAGTTCATCCGCTACCTCATCTCCTCCAATGTTGGGGAAGTGGTCTGGTGGGTGCCTGACTGGGACTGTGCTGTCTTTGAAGGCCAGGGCTGGGGTGTTGGGCTTTCTCAGTTTGCTGCTTCTGTTGTGGCAACTTTGGTTGTTAGCCTTAAGTGGAGAAAGGTCTCAGGGGGCTTGTCTACAGCTGCTCGGTGTCTAGAGAATATTCCTTAACACAGGAGTTAATCTGGGCACACTGGCACATACCTTAATCCTAGCACTCTGGAGGCAGAGACAGGAGAAACAGAATTCTAGGCCAGCCTAGTCTACACAGAGAAACCCTGTCTTGAAAGAAAGTTTACCTTGGTAGTTTAAAGTCACAAAAGTCTTGGTCCTCTTTACGTTTCAGAATGAATGTTGATACATATGTTATATGTGTGGTTTGTTTGTGGTTTGGGGAGAGAGGAGGCTTCTATCGTTCCCCCAAGTCACTGAGTTCCTTCTCTTCTTCCCTTGGATGGAAATTAGTATTTTCCTGACTGCGGCCCTTGGGTTTCCTGAGGCTTTGATTCCTGTCCAGCTCCTCTGGGTCAATCTGGTGACAGATGGTCTGCCTGCCACTGCGCTGGGGTTCAACCCTCCAGATCTAGACATCATGAACAAGCCACCCCGGAACCCGAAAGAACCGTTGATTAGCGGGTGGCTCTTTTTCCGTTACCTGGCTATTGGCTGTAAGTACAGTTGTTTGTTGTTCCTTGTTGGGGGTGCCCTTTGGCAGTGCAGGTCACTGCAAAGCCTCCTCAGTCCTTTTTGAGCATCAAGACAGGTCAGGGCCCTTCCCTCTTGAGAGCTCCAGTCTGATATGAATGGATAATTACCACCAAGGGAACAAGTGGAGTCTACTAGCAAAGGCTGGTTCTGTGTTCTCTGTCACAGGGAAGCCAAGCTAGAGAAGTGAAACCACTGCCCTGGGACCCACAGGAAGACATTTTGTTTGCATAATGCATACACTGCTTTTGATACAAAGAACACAGTGGTCTTGAGCAGTTTGTCTTGCTAGTCTTCTGGCCTTGGTCTCATGAAGCAGGTGACCTTTGGAGATCAGTTAGATTTTGGCTTTTGCAAAAACCTTCCCCCTTAGCTGGGTGTTGGTGGCCCATGCCTGTAATCCCAGCACTCGGAAGACAGAGACAGGAGGATCTCTTGAGTTCGAGGACAACCAAAGCTATTACACAGAGAAATCCTGTCTTGAAAAATCCAACACTACCCCCAACCCCTGTCTGTGAAGGAGTTCCAGTGCCCTGAGCACCCTTGTAATTTCCAGGTTAGTAAGTATGTGTCTGCAGTTGGGGGATTGTGACCACAGGAGGTGGATACATTCTCACCTTTGTAATAGACTTTCTGAATTATAGTCAATGAGAAATGGCCTCTGCCTTAGCCTAAACCAGCAGTTCCTTTGAAGGGTTCTGCTAGGCCAGGAATGAAACAAAGCAGCTACATAGGATCGAACAAGGTCACATCAATTTGCCTACAAATAGAGTGGTGTGACTTGGTCCCCTTGTGCTGAATGTTCTGTCTAATAGGGAGTACTTGTACTCCTGTGTCTTGAAGCTTGCTTTTTTAGCTCTTGACATACTGTGCAGAGCCTCTCTTGAATTCAGCTTGAACTTTTCCTCACAAGCTCCAGAGATGCCTGGTTGCTTTAGAGCAGAAACACCCTGTCTGTGGTCAGCTGCTCTGGCCTCTGTTAACCTGCAGTGTACAGTGCTGTCCACAGCCCCTCGTGTGTAAGCAACGTCATGTTTCTTTCCAGGTTATGTAGGCGCTGCCACCGTAGGTGCTGCTGCGTGGTGGTTCATCGCTGCTGATGGTGGTCCAAGAGTGTCCTTCTACCAGCTGGTATTAGCCAAATTTCTTTCTTTTTTTCTTTTCTGTGTAGTAGAGTCAATTCTTGTTAGCCTTTGGTCTTTCTGTGGTGTGGGACCATCTTAGGGCTAAACAGGTAAACAGTTGCCTCAGGTGGCTCTGAGACCCAGGCCTTTGCTGGATTGTCCTCATGTTGGTGCTGGGGTATAGAACTGGGTATCTGGGTTAGGGAAGTTTACTGGCTGATGGAATGTGTTTGAACTTCATTGCAGAGTCATTTTCTACAGTGTAAAGAGGACAACCCAGACTTCGATGGAGTGGATTGTGCAATTTTTGAGTCCCCATACCCAATGACAATGGCACTTTCTGTTCTAGTAACCATAGAGATGTGTAATGCCCTCAACAGGTCAGTAAGTCTTGTAGGCTGAGGGTTTATGGGTGGTCGTGGCTGGTAAAGCTTTTCCTCCCAGAAAAGGATGGGTTTTGTTTGTTTATTTATTTAATTTCTATATTATGTTCATTGGTGTTTTGCCATGGGTGTCAGGACCCTTGGAACTGGAGTTACAGACAGTTGTTACTTGCCATGTGGCTGCTGGGAATTTACCCTGGTCTGGAAGAGCAGCCAGTGCTTATAACCCCTCAGCCATCACTAGCCCGAAAAGGACAGCTTTAAGCAAGTAGGGGTTCTTGTCACCCCAAGTCCTGCTATGGCAGGGTCTAAGAAAGGGACCAGTAGTCTCAGCTATGCCTGTACCTCTGAGAAAACAAGAGGTTCCATCCAACTGAGCCACTGACAAAAGTTTTCCAAATGACTGTCTTTGGCCATTACCAGCAACTTTGAGCCAGCTGAGATGGACCTGCTGCACTGAAGCCTACAGTTCTCCCCACTGCAGGGAACCAGGTCTTAGAGTTAGGTTAGCGTTGAGTTGCCAAAGCTACCTTCCTAACTAGCCCCCTTTGTGTCACTGACATGAGCCTTTGCATCTGGTGAAGTCATCTCTCTTCTGTCTTGCAGCTTATCTGAAAACCAGTCCTTGCTGAGGATGCCCCCCTGGGAGAATATTTGGCTCGTGGGTTCTATCTGCTTGTCCATGTCACTTCACTTCCTGATTCTCTACGTGGAACCTTTGCCAGTGAGTCATTGTGGACCCCAGGCTGGGTCTGGTGTGGTTCCTCTCTGGCCTGTCCAGAAACTTGACATGGTCTTCTTTGTCTCAGCTCATCTTCCAGATCACACCGCTGAATCTGACCCAATGGCTGATGGTGCTGAAAATCTCCTTGCCTGTGATCCTCATGGACGAGACTCTCAAGTTTGTGGCCCGAAACTACCTGGAACCCGGTAAAGAGTGTGTGCAGCCTGCCACCAAATCCTCCTGCTCGCTGTCGGCATGCACCGATGGCATTTCCTGGCCGTTTGTGCTGCTCATTATGCCCCTGGTGGTCTGGGTCTACAGCACAGACACTAACTTTAGTGATATGTTCTGGTCTTGACTGACAGCGCTACATACAGAAGATGTTTAACTTAATCAATTAATTTTTTTTTTATTGTTTAAAGCAACTGTCTATTTCTGCTGAATTTTCACATGAACATATTGGCTGGTGAAGGAGGTTTCATATTCTAGATTTGTTTTGCTTTTTCTGACTCCAGTGGGACAAGATTTTCCTTTTTTTTATACACATAATTAAAGTGTCCATTGACATGTACAGAGAACTAACACTATTTTATGCAGATATTTTTTTGTAGATGAAAAAGCATGTACAGTGTTCTGTTTAATACTCATACTTGTACAAAGATAGTTGAGCCAGCAGACATTGTCAGCAAATTAATTGGCAGCAGACTCTAGGAAATGAATGTGTGTGGTTTTTAAAAGAAAAAAAAAACTAAATAGCATGTATTGTGTCCTTTGCATGATTCTCTGGATTTAATTTGATATCACAGTCTAATTTTTATTCATAAGCCAATTTTTCTGCACTGAGCAGAGTCCTGCTACCTCAGTCAGTATTTTTGGTTTGCCACTTCCTGCACCCTCAGCCTCTGTCACCCCCAGCCCACCCCAGCCCGCTCGGCTTCTTCTGTAGGTCTGATGGTTCTGTTTACATCCGTCTTCACGAGAGGTTTGCCTGTTCTCGCTTGTGCAGAAAACATTGCTCCAGATTCAATCAACTGGGTTTCTGTCCCTTTGCCTAGTTTTTAAGGTTATTTATTTAAATGTCTAATGTATTTTATTGTAACAGACATTGTTTTTGCCAACATTGCCTATTCAGTGGCACTTCACAATCTAGTTTAAAAGAAAAATAAAACATTTTAAATGGACAGAGAAAAATAACTGTCTTGTTCTTAATGGCCTGCCTTGAACTATCTATAATCAGTTCAAACTTCTCAGCTTAGAGCCTTAGTTTTCCTGTTCCTGAGGGGAAGGATCCTGTTCTGCTGCATAGTAGGATTTTATTTGTGATGTATAGGCACGATCTGTCATGTGATACACATTTATGCAAGTTTCTGCTGGCCTGTTGTATGTAGCCTGGTGTAAGGGCAAGTGTGTGTGTGTGTATGTGTGTGTATGTTTTGTAAAATCTGTAAATAGCACATGACCAAATGAACATATTGTATAGAACTATTTTTATTTGAATGTGGCACTAATCACCACCATGACTCTGATGAACGTTTGCGCATGTTCAAGGTCAGTCTTAACGGCAATGTGAGTCATTAACAGTCCTAACTGTGGTGTTTTCCTCCAATGCCTTCCAACATCCATCAACTAACGTGAGTATCTTCTCTGTGGGATTGGGGTGCTGTGGCCTGTGTACAGGTGATGCCACTGAATGAGATGGCCCCTGTTGCTAGTGGGCTGCATGGCTCCTGTGCCCACCAGGCAGCCACTTCGTAAGGAAACAGGGATGCCAGCTGCTCACTACACAGACTCCAGCATAGACACTACCCGGGACAATGATTTTTGTGAGTTGTGGGGAAGAGGCTCTTGTGACCTGACTGACCTCAAGCTGAAGGAGCTGTGCCACCTCTAGTGCCAAACATGTTCCAAGGCTTTGGATTTTCACTGGCTACAGATAGATGACTGATTCTATAGGAAATTTTGTCACCTTTATAGGATATGTCCTAGTGAGAGTGGCCATTAAACCAACCTCCTGGTATGAACTAGCTCTTAGTTGCACATGGCAGAGAGGCAAGCAAGAGAAAGTGCCTGGTTCTAAAGGAACACAGCAACTGACCCTTGAGTTCAATCAAGTGAGACCTCTGGGTGCTGCAGGGAGTAATGATTCTCAGGAAAAAGGCAAGTTTTTGCCATTTTTGGATGTCATAAGTGTTGAAATGATTGAGTGGATCAAACACAGAAGTGCAGCTAGCAGGACTAGAGCCCTGAGAGGCCGAGTCAGTCAGCTGATCCTCCTCGGTTCAATGACACAAATATGTTTGCATCCTTGATGGTACTGTGGTCCTTAACATCCACAGAGACTGTTTTGGCAGCCAGGTCAACACCAACAGATGAACAGTTTAGATCACTGCTGCCCTGAGCCAGGAATACTTAGTACCAAGGCCAACAGCATAGTCCCAGCCCACAGACGGCCTTACTCTCACCCAGCACCTTCAAGAAGGGACAGTAGTACATGGATAGGCAATGCTGTCCTCAACCCAACAGAACAGTCTAACCTGGAACTCATCTTTGAGGTTTTCTTGAGTAACCTCTTGGTAAAGCTGTATCAAAGGTTCAGCGCTGCAGCCCACTCAGTAAAATGCAGGTGATGCATTCCCCAGAAGCTAGGGCGCTGCCAGGGCTGGGGAAGGCCCGCCACCTCACAGCCCCTTATAGCATCCTTAAACTAGGGTCTCAGCCCAACAGTGTCACAGACCACAGCTCTGGCTCGGTGCCTACAATGCCCATAAGCCAAGAGGCAGAGGCATGGCTGCCCTTCGCCATGCATGAACTCCCAAATTTCCTCAAGAGCAACCCTTGCAGTTGAAAAAGCCTTCCAACCTTTCAAGCAGAGCTGAGCCTGCAGCCCAGGACTGCTGTCATGGAGATGAGGGAGGGAGCAGGAAGGCCTTCCCCCACCTGGTGCCTGCCACTCTGCTCCACTGCCTCACTCTCTGCATGGCTACCGAGATCTCCCGCTCCCACTGCCCTCATACCTGACACGCCTTAGAGTTTCTGCCTTGTGGGGCTTTGTTAGGAGCTGGCGGCGGCAGGAAGCACAAGAGCAGTCACCAGGCCACTGCTTGTAGATACGACAGGTAGCACGTAGGACACTTAGTTAGAAATGCTGGTCTTGCCTCTAGACCAAATGCAGTGTTCTTTCTGTCTGTCTCTGTTGGTGTCTTGGGAAGTTGTTCTAACATTGCTCTATATTTCAAGAAGCTGATTTCCTCTCTCTTTCCTTTTCAGCAATACTGGAGTAACCGCTTCCTAAACCATTTGCAGAAATGTAAGGGTGTTCGGGTGCGTGCATGTGCGTTGTTAGCAACACATCTACCAGCCCTCTGCATGACTGATGTTGGGGAAAAGAAAACTAGAAACAGTTCCCAACTCACTGTGTGATGTGGAGGAAATGTGTATTACCAGTGGGGTTTTAGCTGTTTAATCAAAATAATAACGTGTACAATTTAGCATAAAGAAGCAGAGAGCCTCTCCAGAGAAGTTTGGTTTCTTTGCTGAAAGAAGAATGAGGTTCTGAAACCTTATCCAAGAATAGAAGCCATCAGCCAAGTCTCCATATTTCTCTACAGAATGTCATAGCCTCTATAGCTGTATGATAATTGTAATGCATGCCTTCAGTTGTAAGCAGCCAGATTGCTCTACAGTGACATTGAAACATGCTTTCTAATTGGCCCTGTACAGTTTGCTTATTTATAAATTCAATTAAAACACTACAGCTGTTGAATGGTTACAACATAGGCCTCCGGTCCTAACTTCAGTTGTTTTTTGGGTGTGTAGCCAGCTGTTTCACACTGTATTAATGTAATTTATTTAATGAACTCAGAAGCAGTAGACAGATGTTGGTGCGATACAAGTATTGTGTGCATTTATTGTAATAAAGTGCTCAGCGTCAGCTCACAGCTTCTCACGGCGCATGTTTGACTGTAGACTGGAAATAGAGGTCAGTTTCTCTCTGTGCTAGTAACAGACATGATTTCAGGTAAATAAATCTATTCTACGATAAACCCTCAGCGTAGCAGTGGCTGTTTTATAGGACGGTGGGGATGGGTGCCAAGGTCCCTCCTCCTGTCAGCCAGGAGGGAAGCAGAGTGTATGTAACTCAGCAGAAAACGGGCCTCATTGTTTCTCAGAGTAGGAAGAGGAGACTGCACACATGACCAGCTTCACCTGCCTGACGGCAGAGCAACCATGCAGTCCCCTTCTGAGACACAGGCAAGTAGACCTGAACGGATCCAGAATTCATCCCTTTTTAGCTTGGAGTGAGCCCATTCCCTAAAATGGTCTTACTCATTCCGTGATGTCACCTAACAGAAAACTTAGCTCTTGAAATACAGGAGAACCCCTTGACAACAATGAATACCAAAGGCCAGCAAGATGGTTCAGCAGGTAAAGCATTTGCCACGTAAGCCTGGAGTTTGATTCCCGGAACCAATGGTAGAAAGAACTGACTCCATCACGAAGTTGTCCCCTAATCTCCACACATTTGGAATAATGAACCTGGAAGTATTCGTGACTAACACTTCAGAATAACAATCTTACTGTCACCACCAAATAAGACTCAAGAAATTTCTCCAAATGAACAGTCTTGCTATGCAATCCAAGCTGGCTTGGAACTCCACCCGCCTCTGCCTCCCAAGTGCTAGGTGTGTGCATCATGGCTGCCTAGCACAAACAGCCATCCTGTTCTAGTAACATTTAATAACTTCAAATTACAGGTGTTGAGGATAATGTGTTTTGTTTGTTTGTTTGTTTTTTCGAGACCGGGTTGAGGATAATGGTTTTATTCTAATAGGTTCATTCTAACATGGGAGCAGATGAGGAAGTGTGCCAATAAGATAGTGCCACTCAAGCTCAGTGTGTTGGCCAAAAGAAACCCTTTTATATCCTTAGACTCAATCTAGTGCAAATGGGTCGGAAGATTTTAAAGCCCAAGCTGTACATTCTGGGAGAAAAATGCCATACCCTGTCAGAGCTGTCCGTGGTCTATCTCCATAGTTTGTGGGAAGGCAGTGCCCCTTGGAGAATAACGACCCAGCAGGTCCACTCTAGGCCCCCAGGAAAGCCTCGTAGAGCTCCAGCACTGTCTGTAGGACAGAAGTAGAGCTGCAGGAAGCTTGGAGCAGACAAACCAGATTGAGTCAGAGCTCAGGGTCAACCCAGACCCAATGCCCAAAGCTCTAGGCCTCGACACGAAGCCTCTCACCACCTCAAAAGTTTTCTAAATACAAAGAGGAAATTTGACTTTTCTTGGCATGACCTGGACCCCTGGAAGAGAAACAAAATCTGTACACTTCATCCTAGCCAGGGGGTGATTAGAATCTACACTCCAGAGTCAAGAAAACAGGTTTCTCATACATTGAACAGAGAACCAGTCTCTATACTGGCGTAACAAGTATTTGCCACATCTGACCAATCTTGGCAGTTTTGCTTATCTCTGTACCCCAGTTCTTTTGTTTTCATTTTGTTCTTCAGTCTCAGAAGACTGAAACGTTGGCCTGGAACTCTATAGTATCCAGGCTGCCTCTGCCTGCCTGGATTCAGAACTCAGATCTGTCTGCCCACCACCTGGCCCCAATTTTTTCTTTTTTAATCTTTTTTATTTATGTATGTATACAGTGTTCTGCCTGCATGTTGTCTCTGCAGGCCAGAAGAGGGCACCAGATCCCATTACAGATGGTTGTGAGCCACCATGTGGTTGCTGGGAATTGAACTCAGGTCCTCTGAGCCATCTCTCCAGCCCCCTCAGACCACGTTCCATGGCAGGTTCCAAACAGGAATCTGCCTAAAGTAAGGCAGCGCTCAGCGCCATACATACAGGTATATCAAAGGACATGGGACCAACCTCACTGTAGAGTGCTAAAGCCTCAGGTTGGCATTGGTGTGAACAAAGGGCTAAAGGGGGCAAGGTCTAAGCTGCAGAGCTCAGGTCCACCCCTCAACAGGCTCAGCAGTGAAGACAGTGTCCCCAAAGGAGGCTGGACAGTGTGGATGGCGAAGGCGGAGTACACAGCGGGCAAGCAAGTTAAACACAGTGCTGGTGACATCCTGAGGGAGGCACCTTTCTAAAATGCTTCATACCTCAGACCAGGCGCATACCTGACAAGACTCCAGAGAATCCTGATGAGCACCCTCAAACCTCAAGATGTCCAAAATTCAACGAATGTATAATAGAAAGGTGGCCACCCAAACCACAGACTTGAGAATGGGGGTGACATCAGAGACAGATCAGCAACAAATCCCTAACCAGGATGCAGCAGGGGCCACAGGGACAGATGGGTGCACATGGAGATGTGTCCTTTGAAGAAACTCGGTAAACTGCAGAGCACAGGGAATCTGACTTACATGGCTGGGGAGGGTGCTTTGCAGGAATGACAGTGAAGCCACCAGGGGAGACTTGCACAGAGTTTATCAGGAATTGAGGTGACAAGGCATTTCACACATACCTGAAATGGGTAGTTCCATTTGGGACAGGACTAGATGGACTTGAGGTAGACCTGGCACCTGTCATCTAGGTCAGTCCTGGACATCCGAGTGTATTGCTGTCCTAAGGAGCTGCTGAGATCAGAAGCAGCTGCAGCAAGGGATGAAACAGCAGGAAGACCTGAGGGTGGAAATTTGCCTCTGAACTCCGGGGCAAGTGTCCATAAGCCAGGTGTCACTAAAACCTACCTGCCCACTTTTTCTGTGCAGAGCACCCTGCACTGCCTCCAGAAAGGCCAACCGTGCTCCAGAGGAGGAGGGGGAGTCTCCGTGCCCCCCCCCCATCAAGAACGATTGTTTCTCCATGATAATTAGAACCAGCTATGACATGTAAGTGGAAAGGTGCTCAAGTTCTGTAGAGCTCCACTTCTTTTCTACGTACAAATGACAGTTAGGAATCAATGTTGGCAGCCAGGTATAGCGGCATACACCTTTAATCCCGGCACTCAAGAGGCACAGGCAGGAGGATCTCAGTGAGTAAGGCCAGCCTGGTCTACATGGTGAGTTCCAGAACAACCAAGGCTATGTAGAAAGACCTTGTCTCAAAAAACAAAGACCTGAGAACACGAGTGTGGCTGTTCCCAGAGTCACAGAAGATACCCAAGTGGGGCTCAGGGCTTTTGTATTCCAGGTTGGCCTTAAATTTGCTATATAACTGATGATGATCTCAAACTTCTGATCTCTCTACTCCTTCCCAAATTATGGGCACTCACCTGACAACATTTTCATTTCACTGCTTGTGTGGGCAGTGGTGGCGCAGCCTTTAACCCTAGCACTCAGGTGGCAGAGGCAGACTCTATGAGTCTGAGGCCAGCTTGGTCTACAGAGTGAGATCTGTATCTAAAAGTAAATCAAGAGAGAAAGAAAATGCTGTGAACTCCCCAGAAGTGCTAGGCCTGGACTCATTGGCAGGGTGCTCTATGGCCTTGACCTGGGAAGTAGCAGGTCCATTGTGCCCTCTGATGATATAAGAGCAATGGGTTGGGGAGACAGCTCAGTGGCTAAGAGCACTGACTGCTCTTCCAGAGGACCTGGGTTCAATTCCCAGTACCCACACGGCAGCTCACAACTATCTATAACTTTAGTTTCATGAGACCCAGCATCCATGGCAAAACACCAAAGTAAATAAAAATAAATTTAAAAAAGGAGTGATGCCCACTGTCTGGCACCATCCTCTTGACTCCATCAGGGCAGATTCTTGCTCTCTGGTTCCCAGCTAACTCCTGAGGTAAATCCAAGCTGTCTGTGGGATGGCAGAGGCAGTACTTTGTGCTGAGAGGTTGGAGTAGATGGAAAACTCAGTTTCTACAGGCCTTGGTCTGGCTAAACCAGACAGCACCAATCATACAAGAGAAATCTGAGCCCGTCTGAAAGCAGGTCTGAGCCTGTCTGAAAACAAGGTGGTAATCATGTCTGCGGGAGCCTGGGCCTCAAAGGACCAGCCACAAAGCTCTAGCCGGGGGCTCCAGGGATGTACTGACAGGGATGTCTGGGACAGGCCAAGGTCCTGGAGGGACACCAAAGGAACCACGAGCCTCATCCCACATGCAGAGTCAAATCCAGGAGTCAGCCCTCAACCTTCAGGCGAAGTGGTCTAACTTTAGCAAAGGGAAGGAGTTCCCCCAAGGCAGAGCTGGGCACAAGGGATTTTCCTGAGCCCCCAGGCCTGAGAGAACACTTGTCACTCACTCCCAGCTGGCCATTTAAGACTGGGTCCTGGTTCACCCCTAATCTAATGCTCAAGAACAAGTATCAGAGAGTGAGGGGACAGCTGGGGGGGGGGCACGAATGGGAAAGAGCCAGCCTGGGCTACAGATTATTACAGTCTGAACAGTTGGCCAGCATCCCCCCCCCCCCCCCGGAAAGTTCCAAGGATTACTCTACTCCACTCCACTCTGCAACATCCTGCTGCGGATTTACCCAAAGAAGGAAAAGCTGGGAGCTAAGAGAAGCCGCCAGAGGGCTGTTTATAGACAGACTCGGAAGACCTAAGCGGCAGGAGCACCAGTCTCAGGATGACAGCCCCGTGGCCAGGCTGGCTGGCAGCCTGAATGCAGCAAGACTGAGAGCATGAGGGCTGCTCAGAGGACAAGGCTAGAGCACCTGGGGGTGGGGGGAGCTGCATCAGCTGGAGGATGACAGCCATGAGCCAGTGAACATTCTGCTCAGGGAGTAATAGCATGTGATCTCAGGGTTGAACAGCGAGTGCCAGGCCAGAAACCCACCGTTCTAGGGCTAACATGACATGGTAGATATGGCCAGACATTAAATGCCTGGTGAACCCCAGGTCAGGAATGGTTCTAGTCTGCCACCCTAGAGTGAATGCCAACATCCACGATGGCCCTCGTGGCACACTGCAGTCCACAAGAATGTGAACTTCTTGTGCCCTAGGGACTATCGGGTCGGGTCAGAAACTGACCTCAAGAAAAGCATCCACCAACAGCTAAGGGCATGCAGGGGCTCTGCACAGCACGTGATGAATGTGTCCAGCCTATGAGACCCAGGCCCAGCAGAGCCTGGGTTTTCATTTCATACAAAGTGTGTGCCATACACAGCCGTTTCATTTCACATTTTTCAAAGCATTTCACTAGCAGGAACTACATTCTTGTGCATCAGCTATGCATCCCTAGCTGCAGCTCTCACCCACTCAGCCATGCATTTCCTGCTGCAGCAGTTCTACTCTGCCTAGTGTGAGAAACTTGACTCTTCCAGGTGCTTGAGATAAGCGGCATCTTTCATCTAGCAGAACATTCTTAAAGTGCATTCATGTTTTCAGTTTTGTGGTTGTGTGACAATCTTCGCTGGACCACATTCTGTGTATGCATTCTTCACTGGATGCCTGGGTTGTTCCCACCTCTTGTCAATTGTGAACACAGACGTGCAGTCCCTGTCTGAGCGCCCCCTTTCATCCCTTTGGACATCTCCCAGAAGTGGAATCAAGGGGCTGCCACAACTTTGGATCTACCAGAATTTTCCACGTGGCCGCAATTTTTTCTTTTTTAATGACTTATTTTCTTTGTATGTGCATTGGTGTTTTGCCTGCATGTATGTTTGTGAGGTTGTCAGATCCTGGAGGTACAGGCAGTTGGAAGTTGTCATGTGCATGCTGGGAATTGATCCGGATCCTTAAGAGCAGCCAGTGCTCTTAACCTCTGAGCCAGCTCTCAGCATGCCCACACTTCTTACATCCCAACAGACTGATAAACTTTCTATTGATGGCCACTAAGCAGGCAATCGGTAGGGCTCTGGAATCTTCCTGGTTTGCTGATGTGTGCTTTGTAACATAAACTCTCTCCCCTGCGAATGACAAACATTTCCTGTGGTCTAGGAAAACCCCATGCCCTTGCCCTGTCTACTGCTGGTCAGGCCTGGAGGGAGCTTGACAGCAGAAGCCAGCCTTTGTGCCCTTCCTCCTCCCAGAGAGAGAGGTGGCAGCTGAGGCCTCACCTCCTCCTCAGGGGAGGGAGGCCTCCCGAGCAAGGTGCTTACCTCAGCAGCTTCCCCAGAGGCCATGGTGAGCTGTCTGTCCAGTCTGGCCTCAGTGTCTGACATCCGCAGCTGATGTGGCCCTTGAGAACTGGTCTCGGCAGTCCTCACAATGAGCGTGTTGAGTCTGTGCTGGCAGGAGCAGTGTGATGCTTACTGGCCCGGGCCTGTCCTAGGTGAGCCAGGTTTAGGCTGTAAGACCCAGCCAGATGCCACAGGTAAGGCCAGTCAAGGCCCATTCTTCCCACTCACAGGTAGTCTACAGGGTGGAGCTCCAGGACCTCTCTGAAGTCAGCCTCAAGTCCAACAAGCCTGCCAAAACCAGGAAGTTGGGCAGAGCAAAGATAACCACGCCCCAGGTCAGGGTTCCAGATCCCTGAGTCTACAGCAGAGAACCACACCCAAGCGTGAGGCTGGCTGGATGGCTGGTTGTGTGCCAGAGGAAGGTTCAGAAACACGTGTGTGGCTGCCATGGGTCCTGTGGGTGAACCACATGTACCAGGCCACTGGGTCCAGCAGGGCAGGGACTCGGCAATGGAGAGAGGCCCATGAGCAGGGCAGGGCTACAGTCCCCACCAGGAAGGACTAGCGGCTGACAGCTCCTCAGCACCTGTGGTTTTAATAAGAAGGACCCTCAGATCATAGGTTTGAGTGCTCAGTCACCAGGAAGCGGCACCATTTGAAAGGGTCAGAGGATTAGGAGGTGCGTGGCCTTGGAAGTAGTGTTTCAGAATGGGCAGTGGGTTCTGAGGCTTCAAAACTCCAAGCTTGCTCTCTATGGATCAGGATGTTGTTCTCCAGAACTGCTGGTTACACAGCAAGATCTGTCTCAAAAGACACAAGATAAATAAAACAGGCCAAGTCTCCTCAAAGTCTCTGTGACCTCAACCTGTGCATACTACCTGCCCTGAGCCATTTCTGAGGCACTACAGGCTCAGTGCCTGCCTGCGTGCTACCATGTTCCCCACCATGATGAGAGAGTGGACTTAGCATCTGAAACTCTAAACTCAATTAAATGTTGCATTAAGAGTTGGCAGTGGTGTCGCATGTCTTTAATTCCAGCACTTGGGAGGCAGAGGTAGGCAGATCTCTGCGAGTTTAAGGTCAACAAGAGCTCGTTCCAGGACAGGTTCCAAAGCAACAGAAAAACCCCGTCTCAAAAAAAAAAAAAAAAAAAAAAAAAAAGCAAACAAAAAGAGTTACCATAGTCAGGGTGTCTCTTCACAGCCAGAAGATAAGACAGCGCTATGCGGGGGTCTCCTGCTTGCTGAATCCTAAGCCTGGGAGGCTGCAGAGGTAAGCACCCAGGGCAGCTGCCCCCACACTTGGATGGGGAGTACAAGAGCTTAGCATAAACACTTCATCCCAGCTATGACAGGCTGATGCCACAAGGTCCCTGTGGGGAATCGTGTATGTTTAAGGCTCATTGCCACTCAGGTTGCTTGGATTCCCAGCAAGCAATCAGTTAATCAGTTCAAGTGGAGAGTCACAGGGCTCCCAATCCTGATGTGCTGTAGTCAAAGTGGCAGCGTCAACACTCCATCCTTTGAAACTGCTTCCTAACCATGTGGTTGCTACAGTCCTTCCGCCTCAGCCCAAGGCTGGACCTGAGGGGTCCACCTAGGATGGAGAGTCACACTGGCCCAGAGGCTCCCTGCAGCATGGGAGACATGTAAGAAGGGGAAGAATTCCAGGACACTGAAGGGAACTGGAGAACTATCTGACCTATGCGAATCCAGCCTGAAGTGAGGACAGGAGGGGGAACTGCGTTCAAGTTATGCTCAAAGGGTTTTGTCTTTTCTTTCAGCACTGACTGGTCAGTGGTGCTGTCAGGGAGGCCACGTCAGGAAAAGCACCACCTACATGCTGCCTATGAAATGGCTCAGGGCAGGTAGTGAGCACAGGCTGAGGCTCACACCGAGACATTTTCATGAGACTTGGTCCATTTACCTACCATGTATCTTGAGACATGTATCTTGTTGTGTAGGCCAGCATGTGTAGAACTGTCATGCCTCTGCCTCCCAAATGCAAGACTCCAGTATATGTCACCACCAGGCTGCTCTGGCCCACTTTCCACTGCTCTGATGGATGCTCTGAATTTGACTACTGTACATTTACAATGAATCTTTTGCTTGGTTTTGTTTTCTGTGTAACAGCCCTAGTTGTCCTGGAACTAGCTCTGTAGACCAGGCTGGCCTGGAATCACAGAGATCCGCCTGCCTCTGCCTCCTGTGTGCTGGGATTAAAGGCGTGCACCACCACCACTGGCACAATCAATCTTTCATGTGCTCATGCACCTTGGTCTGCATCTTGAAAGGCATCTACCTGCAGAACCCAGGAGGGAGGATGAGGCAACTTCTTCCCAGTAGCTGAGTGACTTTCAGCTGCTCGAGGACAGATGCTGAAATAAGACCCTGACCTCGGGCCTCTGAGAGCCAGGTGACCCTGTGTGAAGGGTTCAGGGCTCTGCCTCCAAACACACAGGAGAAGGGGGTGTATTTATGGCAAACTGCTGTAGGGTCTCAGGGCTGACTAGGAGACGGAAGGAGTCTGTGACAGCACTCAACAGTTTTACTAGGTGGACCGGCCCAGGGTGCGGCCACACGCTCATCATGCTGCTTCTCAGACCCGCCCAAGCTGAGGCCGAGCGCCGGCCGCTCTGCAGTCAGTGAAAAACACAGTTCTGCACTGCCATTCCTTCCAGGGGGTGGGCGAGCCCAGGACCAGAACACCTCTGACCATGCCTGTGCGTGTCCTGTGAACCCATTCACCGAGAGAAAAAAGCGTCCTCCACCAGTACATCAGAACCACTCAGAGCCTGGTGAGTCTGCAGCTTGGGTCGCTCTCAGTCCTCAGCAAAGCAGAGCAGAGTGAAGTCCTTCTGACAGACTGAAGTCCTGACCACAAGGCGAGGAAACGGGCAAGGACTCCTGTCACAAGCACACTCCTCCCACAGCATCCGCCTGTCCAAGAATCACCAGAAGCTGCCGCTGGGCCTTCACTGCATGCCAAACCACTGCTCCTGGTCAGCCCACTGGGCGGCCTCACTGTCGCTGCCCTCCAGGTCCCCTTCTTCCCCACTCCCTTCCATGTCATCCACATCTTCCTCCTGGGTAGCATCCGTGGGACTCTCCTCCTTCTCCATCTTCTGCATGCCCTCTAGAGACTTCTGGTCATTGGGGTCCAAACTAAGGAACAACAAAACAAAGGAGAGGCCTGAGTCTCTGCCTTGCTCCACTGGACTGCTCTGTCACCAAGCTGGCCCAGCAATGAAACACTAGGGTCAGAGATGATGCAAATGATTGTGTCTTCCAAGGCTGGACCTGGGGAGTCCATGAGAAGTGAAAAGGGACACTGTCCTAAGTTTTAGAAATTTTAACTTGAGGGGGCTGGAGAGGTGGCTCAGCGGTGAAGAGCACTTGTTCATTCAGAGGACCTGGGTTCAGTTCCCAACACCCACATGGTGACTCATGACCACCTGTGACCCCAGTACCCAGGTATCTGATGCCCTCTTCTGGCCTCTGTGGGAACCAGGCACACATGGTATACAGACATATGCAGGGAAAGCAACCACACACCATACATAAAGTAAAAATAAATTAATAAACAATAAAATATAATGACTAAAATTGCAATTAAAAATTCTTAATTAGTCAGTGGTGGTGCACGCCTTTAAAGCCAGCTCTTGGGAGTGAGTTCTAGGATAGACTCCAAAGCTAGCCAGAGAAAGCCTGTCTCAAAAAAAAATCAAAAACAACAACAAACAGAAAAACCAAAGAAAGAAAAAAATTTAAGTTTTTCCTCCATAAAGTTTTCTTTAAAAAAAAAAATTATGTATTATGTATACAATTTTCTGTCTGTGTGTCTGCCTGCAGGCCAGAAGAGGACACCAGATCTCATTACAGATGGTTGTGAGCCACCATGTGGTTGCCGGGAATTGAACTCAGGACCTCTGGAAGAGGAGACAGTGCTCCTAACCACTGAGCCATCTCTCCATCCCCTCCATAAAGTTCTTAAACCATCTCACAACTACCAAGCTCTAGCACTGTACTAGCAGGAGCAGCCAGACACAGCTACTTATGTCCATGTTATCACAAAGACTGCATGCTACACCATGGAACTGATAAGTCCTGAGAATAGGAATCAAGACCAAGGCATTTTCATTAGTAGCAACCCCACAAAGATGCGAGCCCTAGAATCCTCATTTATTTGGCTCCTTGAGCAAGCACTCTCCCTCTGAAGCAAGTCCCCAGCCACAAGCAGCCTTTCTCCAGTGATGACCGCCCACAGCAGTTAGTGGGTTGGCAAATACCTCTAACCTCGGCGCTTGACTTCATTCCAGGCCAGGCTCACAGACACAGGGTAGTAGTTTGTTATATCTCCTCCTTACCCAAAGCTTACACGAAACTCTTGCCTACCCAGAGGCTCACACACTTTGGCCATCCTACACACTGCAGCAAAGAGTTCTGTGTACTCTGAGTGTGACTGAGTACTCAGAAGCGCTGCCTCAGCGACCTCTGGGACAAGTGAACAGATGAATATGAGACTTGATGAGGACACCTCCTTGCTATACCTAATACATACTCTCAAGTCTCAAAAAAAAAAAAAAACCCACTTCTGCACTAATCAGCAAAAATGCCTGCATTTATTATTTACTCCATACCAGGTACAGTGCTAAGCACTTTTTATTGAATACTCTGAATTCTCATTCAGCCATTTATTTATTTTCAAAAATTAAGTTTATTATTATTAGTGTTATTAATTAGTGTGTGTGTGTATGTAGACATTTGTCTGTGCATCATGTATAAGTCATGGCATGCATGCGGAGGTCAAAGGACAACCTTTGAAATGGTTCTCTCCTTCCACTTTTATGTGGGTTCCGAGAACCGAACTCAGGTCTCCAGGGTTGTGTGGCAAGCACAATCACTGGCTGAACCATCTTGATAACCCTTAACTCAGTCATTTAATAACCAATGAAGTAAATATAACAAGGAAAATGGTTAGTATTTTGATCAAGATGTCAGGTAAAAGCTCTATTTAAACCTCAGAATTTAAGTTTTTAGTTATTATAGAAGGTAGATATACAGGAAAACACTTAAGACGACTTTGATCTTAAAAAGATACACGAGGTAAAGCCCTATGAAGTAGTGGCGTGGAGCATCTGTACAATCTAATGTGATGACAGGGCTGGAGAAGAGGGAAGCTACTCTAACTGTTACTATGTCAGAAGTCGAGGATTCAAAAAATCTTCTCATTCTTAGCCTGCCTTCAACTGTGGGCAAAGCAGGTGTCTGCCTCCCCTCCCCTCCCCTCCCCTCCCTCCCTCCCTCCCTCCCCATGGGAGGCTGAGCACCCACCTCAGTGCTATACTGTACTGGTCCATTGCTTCCTGGTATTCGTTCACAGCTACTAGGAAGTCCCCCAGGATCCGATGCAGGACACAGTCGCTCTGATTGGCCAGGGCATTCCTCAACAAAGCAATTCCATCTTCATATTTCTGTTCCCTGCCTACAGAGAAAGACAATTTCACTGCTCAGCCAGTGCACAGTCACACCTACCACATATGACAACTTCCCCAGAGACATCCTTAAAGGGCACTGCAACTGCCTCTTCACTCATGTGCGTGTGGTCTTTATTTCATTGGGAAATGGTAAAATGAGTACTGAATCTTTAAAAAAACATTTTATTACGTCAATATATGTGAAAGGAGGTGAGCATACCACAGCACGTGAGTGAAGGTCAGAGGACAATTGTGGTAGTTGGTTCTGTCCTATCAAGTGGGTCCTGAGGCCTGAACTGAAGCTGTCAGCCTTGGTGGCATCTTTACTTAAGCCACTGAACCTGTGTTCTGAATCTTTAGATACACTCTTAAACTTAAAAAAAAAGGGGGGGGGGACGCTAGTGCATGCCAGCACTAGGGAGGCAGAGGCAGGAGGATCTCTGTAAGTACGAGGCCAGCCAGGTCTACAGGGCAAGTTCCAGGACAGTCAGAGTTGATACACAGAAAAACACTGTATTGAAAACAAAACAAAACAGTCAAATTCAATTTTATTTCCCAAACCAGCAAAAATATAGGAGTTTATCATGAGTCAGAACAAATGGTGTCCCTACTCATGTGATGTCCTGTGCTGCCTTTAGAATGCAGATGCCAGCAAGAAGGCCAGCACCAGACGAGACCATTGGCCCTGCACTAGAACCACAAGCCAGAACAGCTTCCTCCCAGCATCATGTAAACATATGGTTATGCCAGAAGCAAGAACAAAGCCCAGAGAACCCAGACAGCTCAGAACAGCTCAAACTGACTAAAACCAGCTGCATTCAGACTAAAGTAGTTCAAAACTAAACCAGAGATAAGCTGAGTAGCTACAAGTGATTTTAGCTGGTTCACACCAATCTAAGTAGGCTTGAGGCTGTCTGGTTGTGATATATGTAAAGCATTTCAGGCAGGCTCAGACCTGTTCTGTCATCATAAGCTTCAGGGACTGCAGCACCCCCCCGGAGAGGTGGGACCCAACAACTAAGAAGAACACAGAAGGTGGTGCACTCACTGAGTAGCTCTGCCTTTTTCACGACAGCCTTTACATAGTCTGGCCTCTGGGCCAGTGCTTTATCTAACAAAGTTTTGGCTTTCTCCTGCGTCACTGGATCTTCCAGACACACGGTGGCTAAGAGGGTAAGAGTCTGCGCATTTGCACCTAGAGTTTTGTAAACATTGTTGGCCATCACCATTGCTTCTCGAATGCTGTTCGAAGCTAAGTAACATTCTATGAGACCTGAAAAACAAAGCAGAGATGCTGTATTGCAAGCCAGCCCCATCACACCACTCACCATGCTCTGCCACACCCGCCCTGCTGTGCCTTCCCCCATTCTAATGACCCAACGGGACTACAAATGACCCAGCATAGCCTCTGACTATATAAGCACATTTTTCTTCTTTCCAACTTCAAATTTTTCTCTTCAAATTTGAACTCATCTTCCCGTTACGAGACAGACTACTGAGCTTATTTTTGAATTCTTATAAAAATGTTTTAGAGGAACAGAATCTTGTAAGAGCTATTTTAGTATCGGTGACTCAGTCACCAAATGTTGCTAAACCTGGCACAGCTCTGCTGGGCTACAGCAACATCCTGTCTCAAAAAATATTAATAATAAATTTAAAAAATTAACCAACCAATCAATGCTGGAGAGACTCTGCCTGGTTTTTAAAGCTGCTCTTCCCCAGCCGCCATGACTCTAACATACAACAGAACTCTGACCTAACAAAACCTTCCATGTAGCGCAGCTGTCACGTCAGTCACACTGGCAGTCTCCTATCTTACCTTCGTAACAGTCTAAGCGACAAGGTGCGAGCCTTATGGCCTCCCGAAAATGTATGATAGCTTCCTGGACTCTGCCCATGTTCCTGAGTGCTGCTCCTTTGAGGAGCAGAGCTTGGACACTGTTGCTGTTCAGCTGAATGGCCTTGGCACCCAGGTACAGGGCCCGAGAGTAGCGTTTGCTATAGAAGCTATGGCATCTAGGGAAAAGAACAAGTTATTTGAGAAAGGCCTCAATGCCAGGCTGGGGGTGCAAATTCCTTTAACCTTAGCACTTGAGAAGCTGACAGACTGTCTTTAAAAACAAAACAAAACCCAAAAAAGTTGTCCAAATGGCTCAGAGGATTAAGGTGCTTACAGCCAAGGCTGATGACTTGGATTCAGTTCCTAAGACCTAAAGAGGGAAGGAGAGAGAACCGCTCTTGCTGTCTTGTGACTTCTACACACGTGGCAGGTATTGACACATTCACACACAATAAATAAAATGTAATAAAAATCTTTTGAGGACACTTCATCCACAATCAGAGAAAGTCAATTACAAATTATGCTTACAGCTACAACCCAGATATCAGTAAAGAAGCTAAACAAAACAAATATAAACCAACTAAGTATCACTCCGAGGGCATCTCACACAGGCACGGTCAGGCACTTCAGTAACCCCAGCATGTGGATAGTGGAGTAAAGAGGCTCAGAAGCTGAACTTCAGTGAATCAGTGACAGAGTGCCCGTCCACAGATGGGGTAACTATGTCACCTCCCCTTTCGGAGAGGCCATTGTAGAAGAGGACAGGGCAGAAAGAGTCTAAGAGGCAGAAGTCTGGGAGGATTGGTACAATATCATCAGAACATTACAGAACACATGCGTTCCTGAATCCACGGAGTTGCGGTGCCCACAAAATCAACATTCCAGCTTGGAAGTGGACAGGGTCTATGACATCCCAACCATAAATTAGGACCTATGGATAGTTGGTGGCTCTGGGGAAAGGAGAGTCCATTTTTCTTTAAGTCAACTACACTCCACTGTATTGCCCTATACCCAAAAGAAAATGGAGAGCACAAAATGATGTCAAAGGTTTATTAAATAAAAAAGAGAATAGCAGGTTGGGGAAGGGGTAGGGAGGATGGATGTGCTGGAATTAAGAGGAGGAGTCTGAAGTGAATATGATCAAAACACTGACGTGGGATTCCCCTCTGTATACTGCAAATACCATGGTTAATAAAGGAATTGCTTTGGGCCCATAGCAGTGCTATAGGGGAACAGAGCTAGGCAGGGAAAACTAAACTGAATGCTGGGAGAAAGGAGGCAGAGGCAGAGAGAAGACGCACTGAAGCTTTGCTGGTAGGCCACGACCTCGTGGTAATGCACAGACCAGTGGAGATTGGTTAAATTAAGATGTAAGAATTGGCAAATAAGAAGCTAGAGCTAATGGGCCAAGCAGTGACTTAAATAATATAGTTTCTGTATGATTATTTTGGGGCTGAGCAGCCAGGAACAAACTAGCGACCTCCTTACACCTAATTACAATGTACAAAGTTCTCTAGGAATTAAAAAAAAAAAAAAAGGATCAGAAGTCTAAGGCCAGCCTCAGCTACATGGTAGCCCCAGTCTTAGGTACATGAGACTCTCTCAAAAAAAACAAAGGATAGGGGCTGGAGAGATAGCTTAGAGGTTAAGAGCATTGCCTGCTCTTCCAAAGGTCCTGAGTTCAATTCCCAGCAACCACATGGTGGCTCACAACCATCTGTAATAGGGTCTGGTGCCCTCTTCTGGCCTGCAGGCATACATACAGACAGAATATTGTGTATATAATAAATAAATA